GCCACCATGAAAGCCTTTTACGATCAATTCATCTGTTGCCTTCTGTTTTTTTTCTGGATAATTAGGCGAGGAATATAATATTTACTGCCTCTCATTACATATTAATAAATTAGTACTACTAACTAAACAATTTAACTCAAACATAACCACTAAAATTAAACAGTTTAAACTAAATTATTATTTGACCATTAATGGTATAATTAGATACCTATTAATATTGTACCAAAGTTTGCATTTATGAATTTAGATCCAGAACAATATAAAACTTGTCTTTTACAAATATATAAATTATCTCTGATGCCGCTAATCTGTTTTAGTTAAGTATAAACAACAAAGATAACCTAAAGCGATTTGACCTTAAAAATAAATTACCTACTTCTAATGTGTTAGGTTGGCATTTTTGTTATATTTTTAACCAGAATATAACAAATATTTAGTTCCGAAAAGTACACTGATAATAGGCTAACAGCAATATTTATAAAATCGACACGTTTTGGCTGGTAATCCTAAAAGAACAATAGATATTTGGTACAGCTTTTTCTTACCTGTTACTGAATGTAGCAGCATAGGGCGTACACGAAACTTCTTCGTTTTACTCTATTTCTAACCATAGCTGAGGTCCCTTCCCATTTTTCCTCTTGTTAATATTTTAATTGGCTATTATTTAGTTCTTCCCCAAAATGTATTATTCATATCTTACGATGCTGAACCAATATATTTTCAAGATATTTTTAAGATCTGTTGGAAACACCTATTTACAAAAACTTGGAGTTTATGACATTTTCATTATCATTGGTTATTATCCAGATCTCGCATCCATATAATATAGAAAAATATTAACTGCTAAAATGTGGAGGTGTGAAGATTCTTGAAAATAATTGAATCCGAAAGAGCTTGAGACTAAGTGTTTTAGAAGGAGATAAATAGAAATATTTCAATTATAAAAGCATCTTAAAATATCCTTCACATTCACAATCTACCACATTACATTACATCCACATTACAAAAAGAAGACACTGTATTTATTACTTGACAAATATAAGAAAATATGTCAAATCAACTTTCCCTGTTTCATAGACACAACGAAAATCCTGTGATAAAATTCATTCAATACAACACTAAAATTAACAACGATAGCAAATAAACTGAATGAAAGTATAACACTAGCAGAAGAACAACAAGGTTTTAAATCGGGAAGATCATGCACCGAAGATATATTTATAATGGGGCAAGTGCAAGAGAATTTATTAGCATACAACGAAACCGGCATATCTATGTTTCGTGGACCTTAAGAAGGCATTTGACCATGTCAAATTAAAAGGCGATATCCACTTACTGTACTGCAAGATAGATACCTCTAGGAATATTCAAAACGATCGAAAATATCTTCCAAAACAACACAATAAAAGTAAAAGTAGAAGAAGGACTATCCGACGCTATTGAAGCTGGCAATGGGATGAGACAGGGATTCCAATATTGTTCAACCTGATTATGGATGAAATACTAAAAACAGTAAGAATTAAAAAAGGATACCAAATGGAAGAAAAACAACTTAATCTGCTTTGCAGACGACGCAATACTACTTTCTCAAAGTGAAGATGATTTACAATGTATGCTGCACCATTTAAATATAACCGCCAGAAAATCTAACATGTTAATTTTCTAAAAAAAGAAAAATTGCATGGTTACAACAGCAAATTTACTAAGATGTAAATTGGAGCTTAGAAGGCAGATAATAGAACAAGTGATGGAGTTTAAATATCTAGGCATCACATTATGCAGCTACGGAAAGCTCCAAACTGAAGTGGAAAATCAAGTGAATAGAGCAAACAGAGCCACAGGCTGTCTAAATAAAACAATATGGAGAAATAAAATAGCGGGAAAGAAAGAAAGGTAGAATTTACCAAACTGTCATCAGACCAATAATGATATACGCGGCAGAAACAAGAACTGACACAGATAGAACAAAAATGATGTTAGAAACAGCAGAGATGAAGACGCTTAGAAAAATTGATGGTAAGACACTATGGGCAGAGTTAGAAGTACATATATACGACGTAAATGCAAGGTGGAGAACATCAAGAACTGGATAAGAAATAGAAGAGTAGAATGGAACGATTACATAAGCCGAATGACAACAAATAGAGTAGTTAAGACGGTAAGAGACGGTTCCCCAATAGGAAGACGATCAGTAGGAAGACCACGAAAACGATGGAACTACAACTTACTGAAGGCACATTGAAAAAACAGACAGAAGAATAAGTACTTATACAATGCAGTCTGTACAATATTCCTTTAATCAACAGCAATATTTCGATTTAGCACCATATTAATCAATCTTTAAGTTTCAAACATCATGTTGCATCGTGCATACAATCAGTTATAAGGACGATGTCATCTGCAGATCTTAAATGAGTGAGCTTCTCTCCATTTATGTTGATAACATGCTCGTTGATATCTGCATTCTTACAAGTATGTTCTCTAAAAGCATCGTGAATAACTTTGGAGTGTCGTGTGTGTCCTTAACGTACTCCTCGCTGTATACAGAAGTTTATTTCCAAAATCATTTCATCCCAAAACCAATTCATTATACGGTGAGATTTGTACTGCGACGAAGGCGCTCCCCAATGAGACATCCACAGAGACTTGGTAAACTCTGGGCACTAGATAAATATGCTGCAGTACTGTTAACATGTCTTCCCAACTCGTGAAAAAAAAAGATGATGGCTCAGAGGACGAATCAGAAATGGTAACTCTTCTGAATCCACAAAAAATGAAAGAGAATAAGCAGATAGCTTATTTAGTGGGTCTGTTTGTGCAATTACTAGTTCGCTCTGGTGGTCAGATTTTAATAACCTACAGAAAAGGGTCAAAGATAAATGCGCTCTGGCCATATATTTTAAGAAGTTTAAATATGCCTTTAGCATGCCACATTGCACAAGATTTGATGAATCAATTTGAAAATCTTTGACCAATGTGTGTTGCCTGTTGACAGTGTGTATCACTTATGTAGCGGAAACATTAACTCTCACAAAAAAGGTAGTGAGCAAGATTCGCGTGACTCAGAGGACTATGAAGCGTCAGATGTTGAGTTTTTTCTCTGAAATATAGCCGAATTCCAAACGAAGAAAATCGTCGTAAAACCAAAACAACAGACGTCATCGAAAAAATCGCGTCTCCAACATGAAATTGGACATGACACGTCGCTAGAATATTAAACACCTGATGGACAAAACGTATTGTCGACTGGAGACCAAGACAAAAAGCATTACAGAGCAGATGACGTCCACCAACTAGATAGACTGACGACTTGAACGTTTCTTCTTCTTCTTCTTCTTAGCCTTCTATCGTCCATGTTTGGACATAGGCCTCTCCCAACTTCTTCCATCGGTCTCTATCCTGAGCAACATATTTCCAATTTGTTCCGGCTATTCTTTTAATGTCATTAATCTGTGGTCTTCCTCTTTGTCGTTTACTTCCGTAAGGTCTCCAATGTTTTATTGTAGTATTCCAACGTTGCTCTTTTTGTTTAGCAGTGTGGCCCGCGAAGCTCCATTTAAGTTTGAAAATTTTTGATGTTATATCCTCGACTTTTGTTTTTGATCTACCCAGTCGTTCCTCTTTTTATCTGACAGTCGTATACCTAACATTGCTCTTTCCATTTTTCTTTCTGTTGTGGCTAGTTTATTCATGTTTGCCTTTGTTAGGGTCCAGGTTTAACATCCATATGTCATGATAGGAAGGATGCATTGGTTGATCACTTTGCTCCTCAAGTATTGGGGTATTTTGCGGCTTTTAAGTATAAGTTAAGAGGTTTAAGTTAAGAATCGCAAAATACCCTAATATTTGAGGAGCAAAATGTTCAACCAATGCATCCTTTCTTCATGACATATGGATGTCAAACTGGACCCTAACCAAGGCAAACATGAATAAACGATCCACAACAGAAAGAACAATGAAAGAGCAATGTTAGGTATACGACTGTCAGATAAAAAGAGGAACGACTGGGTAAGATCCAAAACAAAAGTCGAGGACATAACAACAAAAATTGCCAAACTTAAATGGAGCTTCGCGGGCCACACTGCTAGACAGAAAGACCAACGTTGGAGTACTACAATACAACATTGGAGACATTACGAAAGTAAACGACCAAGAGGAAGACCACAGATGAGATGGGTTGATGACATTAAAAGAATAGCCGGAACAAATTGGAAATATGTTGCTCAGGATAGAGACCGATGGAAGGAGTTGTTTGACCTAGTTGAGAACTAAGTTTTCCAGATCCTGCCCATGCTAGTCTTGCTCTTCTAGTGGAAGAGTGGCTGAAGCGTGTAAGCAGTAACTAAATGCAAGCCGCACAAGACAAAGATATATGGAAAGAGTTAAGGGATACCTATGTCCAGCAGTGGACGTATACAGCATTATTATAAATTATTGACCTGATTCAGCATATTATAAATTTGTATGTATTTATTATATTTTATATTATCTGTTTTGGCGTGTTACTTGTTTTTTGGGTAGGTAATAATATGTTAAATCAAGAAACCAGTTAATGACATATCTGCAACCCTTATGTCATATATTCAGTTGACCACAAGAGAATTAATTTGATTTTACCTTAGTCACATTTGTCCCATGTTTCTACATATTTGTGAAACTTTCCCTTACCAAAAGAGACCAGCCGTATTTGTAATGAGAACTTCCCACTCATGACTATCTTGCATGGTATACTGAAGAGCTGAGACTCGGTTTCAGACTGATGTGGTAGTAGAACTTTTTCTGTAACGGCAAGTAATCTGCTGTTGTGCAGTTTTCACTTATTTAGAGAAAATATAAATTTCAGTAATATAAAAATTACAATTTAATTTAAACAAGAAAAGTTTACTGAATACTGTTTATACTTAATTGTAAAGGACATTATAGTAGCGCAAAAAGCATTAAAGTATCTTGGTTAAAATATTGGCATATTGTTGGGAACAAATAAAATAAAACAAAAATATAAAAATTAAATAATTATATTACAATGAACACAGCGGTTTGACACATTATATAACAAATGATTTTTACAAAATTAGAACAAATTCTCAGAATTTATATGTTATAAATATAAAAATTTTCTCTTATTTACAATAAAGCTTTTCCGGAATCTAATACAATCCCATTTTTAAGACAATTTCAGAGACTGCGTATGCATGACAAACAGTCAATAAAAAATAATTTAATGAGCTAAATTGAATAATCAAATAGATTAGAATATTTTGAACTACAAGAACTGACAACTGACAAAGTCTGACATATTTTCTTTTATTTAATTGTCTACACCCTCTGAAATTGCCTTTGTATTTACATCACAGACTTACGCTGTCATAAAATACTTTTGTAAGTAATACTTTTACAAATAATAATAAAACTCTTATTATTTAGTACTGGTTAATTTTGCAGGAATTACTACTTTAAAAATAAGTAGCCCTCCAATGTTATTGCTGTCTGTCTATTTCATTATTATTACCTTAAATCATCATTCACATCTAAAAAAAAATTATTACGTAGGAAATTATTTTTATAAGGCTTTATTATTGTCATAATCTCATAGTTTTGAAGAATTTTTAACGGTTCTTTGAAAAGAATACATCAATACAAAATGAAAATTAGGTCAAAAGAATCATAAAAAAAGATGATTGATTAAAATACCGCAAAAGAAAACTATCGCTTATTCGACGGCACAGTAGCTTGGCAGACTTACTTGAGTAATGAGGTGGGTAGTTGACCAGCTTGTTAGTTGAACTTATACGCTATCAAGAAATATATTTTAAACCCATCATTATAACATCCAAATGAATTGATATTTGGACTGTAAGTCTCTGGTAAAATCGAGTTGACCGATAGATGAGTAGTACGACAAAAGATAAACTATCATGGCTTGATGAAGGTTAATTGATTGGTCCCTACTGGAAGACGTTTAGATTCTAGAGAACCAAGATAGAGTAGCACGAAGATTGCCACAAAATATGAGCACTACTGCTCAACATATTTTACTGCTTTAAAATAATAAAAATAAACTGGAATAAGAACTGGAATAAGTTATATAAAGGTATAGTGATGCACACACTGCCTAAAAAAATATATTTGCAGCCTAAATTCAGGTTAATCAAAAATCTATCATTTGATTTTTTATATATACTGCGGCTTCTTTCTGAACAAAAATGGCATAACATTTCAATGGCATAAATTGATTAAACTGCATTCCAGCTAAAAGGAGAACAAGACCCAAAAGAGTATTAAGACATATGAAAAGAACTATTTTAGCTATAGCGTTTCGGATCTATAAAGATAGACCTGCCAGCGACTAATGGTTTCAAAATATTTCATATCTTTTATTAATTTGATTGATATGTGTGATAACAAAAAAGATTAGGCCATGGAAATTGAACTACTGGAGACGATGTTGCAGCTCACTAGACTAGATAGGGTGAGAAACGAAGATATTCGGAGGAGAAATGGAAATCGATCTTGACATAATAGACACAATCGAAGCCAAAAGACTTAACTGGTATGGACACCTTCAGAGAATGCCGGAAAATAGATGGCCAAAAAAAATAGAAGAATGGACTCCGCCAACTAGAAGAAAACGAGGTAGACCAAGACGATCCTGGAGAGGACGATGTCGACGATGCAATGACCGCCAGAGATCTAACAACTGAAGATTGCTTTCGACAGAAAACGCTGGAAATTAGGATGCGAGAAGCGGCGCCAGCTGTAGAAGACTCGCTTGTTTATATATATATCAACAAAAAGATTGAAATAATAATAAATAGACCCTTTTTGTTAAACATCTGATAGTTTGGTAAAACAGTAAAGTACGTATTGATTGTAGAAATACTAATAAATAAACGAAGAATCATAAACTGGCTTGTGATTTATACATATCACTAATTATCCTTACAATCGGAATATTGCCAATGGTTTTCCTAAAGAAAAGTTCTTCTATTGTTTCACCAGGAACTTTTTTTAAGGGTTGGAAGAAGAAGTAAGAGCTTTCCGAATCTTAAAGGTTGTCCAGGATGAGTTGTACTTATATATTTATTTAAAGTAAGTTGTGTTTCATCTTGAATAGCCGCTATTTTTGCAGGATTGCTAAGTACTTTTTCGTGTTGAGTAGATGCCGGCAAACTGGTCTTATCAAAATTTGTTTTAAAAAGAATAGTCGCCCTTAAGCACGAATATTCATGAGGATCAACGTGAAATTGTCTAATATTAACTAATATATCTTGAAATTCTTGTACACTTTGTAAGAAGGTACTACTAGTTTCTAAGGAACTGCAATTTGGAATTAAATGCGGCAGATACGTTAAAGGTAGAAATTGAGCTGCTCCAAGTACAAAGAGTTCCCTCCAACTCTCTTCTAAAAGAAGTAGTTGATCAGAAAATGAAAGCGAGGTAAAGGCGGGAAGAGTTCTAGTCCATTGAACGTTCATAAATAGCAATCTAGCCGCTGCCTCACATACAACTGCTGGATTTGGTATTGGTGGAGGTGATATTGGTTGTAGCGGTAACGGAAACTGTAACAAAAAAATATAAAATTATTTACTGCTAATGCTGCTAAATAATGATGAATAATATTACTTATATTACAATACGTATTTATACATAAAATACATTGAATAAAAAATTCAAAATTTTTTACTAGTATAGTTTAATAAGACGGTTTTTTAATGGGTGGTGCGTTTCAAATAGCCCCTCCAACTCAAATATCAACGACACCTTCACTTTGGTGAACCCTGTTATTACAAAATGAGGCTGCAATGACCTAATATCTGCGGAGTAACTGTAACACCTAAAATTAAAGAAATTTAATTCCATTAAAAGTAAGTGGTGTCCGCCCGTGTGTTGGCTACGTCACTTATCACCCCATCAACCCGTCTGGATAGCATGGTGAGATATGACCAAAACCTGCTAAAAGCAAAAATGGGTCCCAAGTAAATAGGAATTTTATTTTGCAATCCCACACCAAAGATTCTAGGGGGAGGTGCAAGTCGATACTACAGAAAAAGAGGAACAAAAAAACGACTCCATATAACAACATATGTTCTATGACAAAAGATAAAAACTCTACGAAAAGGAAAGGAAATTGGGGAATGTAAATCGGGACATACTGGTACCATCAGAAAATAAAAAAGGGGTTGAGGGTATGTGGACATATATTTAGGCAAAATCTACTACAACGGCAATGTCGGCAAAGAAGACTATACATACGGTGGAGTAGGTTTCTTAATCAACAAGAAGAAAAATCACAAATTCCAATAATTCATAGCATCTCGGACAGGGTTACATACATACATAATTCAAGATTATGCGGGTTTATTCATTAACTTAAAAAACCAACTAATGACAAAATTAATACTTTTTATGAAGACAATAACAAAAAATCTAAAATAATAATAATGGAAGGTTTTAACGCCAAAATTGGAAAAAAGAGTGAAGACTCTGAAAACAAGGTTGAAAATTTCGGATTGAAAACAAGCAAGACAGTAACAATTCGTAAACTAACAGAGCTGTTTAATATGTCACCATAACAGTAAAATCCCTAATATTGAAACGAGAGTCTAGTAATACTCTTACACAAAAAGGGCACAAATGTGACCTAAAAATTTGTAGTTCTACATCGTTGCTTAGTCAAGTATACAAACTATTTAGAGTTGACTTTCAAGATGAATTATTACCAACCAGTTGAACAGGCTGGCTTTTGTGAAGGATAAAGTACATCAAAACATCTGCTGACAATGAGAACACTGATAACGAAGGCAAATGAGTAATAACTAATCGTATTTCTTGCGTTTATAGACTATGAAAAGGTATTTAATAGTATAGAGATAAGGGCTATAGAAAAAGCTATTAGTAATTTATTGTAGAATAGATTTAAGATATAGGCGTAGTCATACATAATATATATGAAAACGCAACTATGATAGTACAAATAGATAAAAATGACAAATCCATTCCCCTTTAAGAGAGGAGTTAGACAATGCAACGTAATGTTTTAAAAGCTTTTTAATTTAGCCCTAGAAGACTTCTTCATAACTACAAATTGGTCCACATATAATATTAAAGTTAATGGCAACAAGTTAAACCACCTGTGAGATTCTCTGACGACTGCGTGATTATAGCGAGCACATTTAAAGAATTGACAGAGACATCTCCCAGCACGTTGTCCTAAAAATGCATATGATAAAAATAAAAACAATGACAAACACAGATGATCCCATACGTTTAGCTATAAAGCAGTGAGATAAAACAAGTTCAGGAATATATCTACCTAGGTCAAATTCTAAAACTTGACAAAGAGAACCAAGGGCAGAAATCACTAGAAGAGCAAGATTGGCGTAGGCAGAATTTGGTAATCTCAGTTGAATACTTAAGAACCGCAAAATACCTCAATACTTGAGGAGCAAAGTGTTTAAATACTGCATTATTTCTATTATTACATATGGATGTCAGACTTAGACCCTAACCAAAGTAAATTAAGTATGAATAGGTTATTCACACCAGAAAGGGCAATGAAACGAGCAATAGTAGGTATACGACTGTCAGATAAAAAGAGAAAGGACTGGTAAAAATCAAAAACAAAATTCGAGGATATTATAACAAAAATTGCCAAACTTAAATAAAGCTTTGCGGTTTACAAGGCTGTACAAAAGACCAACGTTCGAACGTCACGACATAAGAAGAACACCACGAATAGATGGATAGTATGTTGCTCAGAATAAAGATCGATGAAAAGAGTTATACGGGCTTTACACCAACAATAAATTCACGAAGAAATTCATGAATTTATTCATCAATTTCTGTGTCAATAAATTCGTGAATTTCTTGGACGTAAAAGTTTCTTTGACTTCAAATAAATTTTTACATCAAGTGTCATTATTTCAGTAGTACCAATGGTTTTATTATTGGATGTTATTTATTGTTGTGTATTTGAATAAATATATATTTGGATTTGGAAATATAATCATAATCAGAAAACAATATCGTTTTAAAAAGAAAATAGTGATTAAGATTGTACAAAAAAATTATGCTGAATTTGGTAAAGAGTAAGAGCTTGAACAAGAGGTAAAAATAAGTGGAAATTACTTATATTAGTGAAAACTTTTTATTTTAGACATAGTAGATAATTTCAAATAACTTTAATAAGGACAACATAGCTAAAGAAACAGAAAAAGTGGTAATTTGATTTTTTTATATGATAGAACAAGAAAATCTAGCATTCATTACATACTAAAAATTAACTGTAGTTAGTATAAATGTTTATCAATTCATTGTGACTTTTAGAATGATGAAAGCCTTTATTTAAATACAATACCTGCCCCAACCAAGTAGAAGTAAAGAAGAGAGAAAGCTACAATACTTTTTATAATCTTTTAACCACTATTCATAATATATTCTCAAGAGATATTTACCTAATATAAATAAATAGCTATGTTTATTGTTAGAATATTGAGATGTGTACAATTCTAATCACAAAGATATATTGTAAAGAAATGAATACTTAAAATAAATAAAACATGGAAATAACCAGTAATACTTTACCACTAGTTTGTGAGCTGATCCTTTACAATTTTAATGATTTGTCTTTAACATATATTAGGTATAATTTGCTTTATTGAATAGTAGGGTAGGTTAGGACTAAACTAAATAGGTGTATAAACATACAATAATTTTTAAATATTATATAATTTAAATAATAAATGAAGAATCATAATAACAGGAATAAAAGCTAGTTTTAATATTTGTTATACACAAACAACTATGATTTTTTTCTAAATAAAAACTGTACAGATTTTATCCGTAGGATATGGAATCCTGCACTTTTAAAGGAAGATAGTCAATTTGAGAAGAAAACTATGAATAATAAAGTAGGAGAATAAGAAGAATGAATAAGAAAGAACAAAATTAGTAGCAGGCCAACGGCTTCATGTAGAAAAAGAGCACAACAGAAACATGTCAGAGAAATGAAATTGTGTTGAAGACATGCATTGAAAAGAAATATTTTTAATTAGGTTTAAAAATTAAATTATACAAAGAAAAATTTAATAAAAAAAATGTTCTATGTATATTAATGATTCTCCGAGGTTTTCCCATAACACAAAAATATTTTATAGGGTTCTCAAACACCTTCAACTTAAGGAAGTTCAATAACGTCTTTATTTAGCAATTCATCTTCAAAATTGTCTCCACTTTGATTTTTTAATTGAATCATTTCAACTATACAGCCACTTTCATTGGCTAAAATTGGAAACTTTCTTCTTCCATACACAGTCTGTTAAATATCTGGAATTCATTGCACAAAATTTCAGGATATCTTAGTGAATTGTTTTAGTGGACAGTCTGAATGTGAATTTAAAATCTAATCAATAATATAGAATTATTCATACCTGGTTCAAAAAAATAGATGAGTGGACTCAACGCAAAGTTAATTTAAAAATCCTATCAATAATACAATATTATTCATACCTGGTTCAACAGGAAAATATATCCAGTATCACCAAACTATCAGAATTTAAAATGTCTAAATTCTTTTTTTTTTTAAAGTTGCTGTTTTTGAGAATCATGAGCGGAATGTGACAGCCTAGGTACTATATCACTCCATACTTTTCATTTTGCAATCTTATAATACTTGGCATTTCAAAGAAGAACCATCCTTTCCTGTTTCAGAAATAAATAGCATCCATATCTCTTGGAAAACGTTGATTAATCCATTTTTAAACTTTCGACTAGATCAAGTAAAAGATAGGAGTGAAGAAAAAGGTAGAATTATATAATCTTTTATTAACAAATATTTACTATATATCCTCAAAGCGTTAAATAAATAATATTTGAAAAAAAAAACATGTAAGAAAGGGAAAAGTAAACAATATTTTAATATAAACTAGAGTTTTCTGCCTCTAAATTTTATGTTTTTCCTAAAAAAAATACATAATATTATTTCTGTCTTTTCCTTTTTACCTCTTTTACGTAACTATTACTTATTACTTGACACACGACTTAAAAATGCAAAGTTCAATTTGGTTCAATAATCAAAAACAAAATAATTATTATCCCTACTTCGCGCCAAATCTACACAGGTTGGTGATACTGAATTCACGTCCAATAAATGAGAAAAATAGAACATGTTCTATTTCGTCAATTTCTTCACGAAGTTATTCATGAATTTATTCACGGCAAAATTTGATGTCAAATTGTGCTTTACACCGGTCAAATTTGACCTTGAAGCGACTTCGCGAATTTCTTCATGAATTTATTGTTGGTGTAAAGCCCGTATTAGGAGAGGTCTATTTTTAGCAATGAATGATAGAAGGCTAAGAAGAAGTTTAATAAGAACCACTTCGGTATGGTGGTGGATCCGTCAGGTTGGTATCCTAATATGGATTTAATATGGATTATTTGTAAAAACGATGAAGCTGGCTTTACAATATAATAAAAAAAATCCTCAACACACATTACACAAAATATAAAAAATTAAAAATAAAAAAGATGCATTAAAAAAGAAAAAGACGAAAATTTAATAAGATACAAATATTTATTAAATTATTATTTACACATGCCTGGTTGTACAACCTTTAAAAATTTGATAAGAACTTTATTAGAAGAAAATACGTACAAATAGTACAAATACCAGGATGTACCACAGACGATACTGACCAAACAAAAGAAATTAGATGCCGCATTGAAATTGTACGGCCAACTTTTAACAGAATGGAAAACTTTTCTGTAATCTCAATATTAATATAACACTCCGAATAAGAATGCTTTAATATTATATTTTCTCTACCCTTTTCTATGGGGTGTAGGCCCAGACACTGAAACTATCCAACATTATGTAAAAACCTCGAAGCATTCGAAATGTGGGATTACCGACTTATTCTTCTTCTTCCTTCTTGTATGTAGGCTTCAAAGTCTATTTTCTTCAATATTAGCCTACATTTTTTAAATTGTCGCAACATCATTTTCTTGGTCTGCCAATACCTCTTCGTCCATATGGTGACTTATCTCGTGCTATTTGCACTGTTGTTTTCATTTTGTCACCCCTCCATTAATGTCTTCTATATTGCATGCTTCTCTTATGTTTTCGCTTCTTTCCCTATCCAACAGACTTTTCCCTGATATTCGTCGGAGTATTTTAATCTCTGTTGTTTCTAGTTGTCGTCTCGTTTTAGATGTGTCAGGTCTTGCTTCCGCCGTGTATGTTAATATAGGTCTAATTGTTGCTTTATATAGTCTTGCTTTTGCGTCTTATCTTAGGTGTTTGTTCTTCGAGATTATGTCATTAAGAGATCCCACTGCTTTACTTTCTTTTAAACTTTGTTGTCGTACTTTACGCACTGCTTGTATTATTTTGTCAATTATTATATTAAAGAGAAGTGGGCTTAACGAGTCAACCTGTCTGACTCTGCTTTGTACTAGTATACACTGTGTTAGTTTTCTATTTATCTTTGCCTGTATTCGATTGTGGAAGTAGATGTTTTCAATGGTTTGTATAATATTGATTGGTATGTTTCTTTTATACAGTAGGTGCAAGACGTCTTTGACTTCGATGCGATCGAAAGCCTTTATCAGGTCTACAGAGATGTTGGTTAATTATACTCGATGGCCTTTTCTGTGACTTGTGTTAGTACAAATACGGCGTCTACGCAGGATCTTCCAGATCTCAATCCTTATTGTTCATCTGATAAAGTTGTTAGTTTATTGATTTTGTTGGTTAGGACTTTTGCGGAAAGCTTAAGTGCGATGATCAGTAGATTTATCCGTTTATAATTGTTGAGGTCTTCTTTATCTCCTTTCTTAAACATTGGTATTATTATGCTGTTTCATGCGTCTGGTATCTTGCAGTGCAATATTAGTTTTTGTATAAGTTTTGTGCATTACCAAAGTATTCTAAAAATATCTAGGATGGATCCCAAAACAAGCGAACAGCTAGGAAAACAATTCGAAGTTTTAAATTCCATCAAAATCAGGAAGTTGAAATACTTGGGGCACATCATGAGAGGTGAAAAATACGAACTATTAAAAATGATAACAGAATGATTTCCACTGTCCGATAGGAGCGGAACATGAAGATGAATATTAAAACCAAAAAGACACACAAACGAGAAGCTTGGTTCGGTTTAAGAAACAAGAAAAAAAAAAGAGTCAAATAATAACTTTTTTATAGACACAGGTTTATTAGCTGTTACCCTTTTTTGGTAGAGATCTATAGAGGAGTATCACCAAAGCCATTATGTCTTGCCATGTCGCTTCCTTATGTCACTAAAAAACTAGCCTATTCTAGTTTAAAAGTAGCGAATTATTTTAAAGTTTAAAGCCTTTTAATAAACCTTTTTGTTTTTCTATCCAAGCCAAGGTCCGAACAAAATTCCGCTAAAGCATTTCGATAGTGAGGCGAATGCAAGTCGACCGCCTGCCCCGCTTGGCTATCTGACCGAGTAATATAAAAATAAAAATATAAAAATGAAATTGAATAGTAAATTCTAACTATATAAAATACGTACCCGAGGAAAATTCAGTATTGAATTGCATAAAAATCCAGCCGCCGCTGGACCCACAAATCCGAAAGGACCTTCTATAACAGGCGATGACGTCGGTTTTGGCATGGCCAGATTCAATGCCCCGACAGGTGGTGACGCCATCATCCTCTCCCTAGCCTCACTGAAGAAATTTGACATTTGTTGTCTTCGCAAAGTCGAGTTTCTTGGTCCCCTCTCGTGCTGAACGGCTGTAACAACAAAATTAAATTCAGTAAAAGGTCCTTTAAGGATAATAGAGCGACGAAAACAAATCGTGGCATCTGTGCTACGCTTAAAAAGAGGGCTACTAGGAAAAGATGAGTTTAAAAATATTATTGTTAGGTTTAAATACTCTTTCAGATAATATTTATAACGAATAACGATTTTTGACAGTACATCTTATTATATAAAGTTTTCAAGTTTAAAGAGTATATGAAAATTTAAATAATGTTATTAATGTATGCAAATAAAATGTTTATTTTATAGTTTTCTTAAAATATTTCTCGTAAAATAAAACTAAGTCTGGACCTATCTAAATTATCTGTTAATTTATTAATTAACCCTACACCTACTTAGAATAAAAACCATTTGACATCAATCTGATACAAGTAAATCAAAATGATTTCAAATGTGTCTCAGATCAATTTAATTTAAACTCCTCAGAACTTCGACTTAAAATGAAAAAAATTAAAGCTTTCCTTCTTTAACAGCTCTTGAATGTTTAAATTGGCTATGCGTTTGTTGCAGGGAAGCACATTTAATAATTTTAAATAATTACAATTTAGTGAGTTACTGAATGCGCAAAATACAGATGAGTATGATAAGCAGTGGGCTTAAAAATAAGAAAAGTCGTGGAGAAAACGAAATAGCTGCGGAGATGCTAAAGAATGAAGGGAAAGAACTGCAAAAAACGATGTATTGCCTTATCAAGAGGATATTTTAAGAGGAAAATATGCCCACAGATTGGACCAAAGCTGTATAATGTCTCATATACAAAAAGGGGGATGGATTGTCATCTGAAAATTACACAGGAGTTGGCTGCTCTGTTGGATACTTGTTAGAATGTATTAGCAGAGATGCTAAAAGAGAGACATAGAGAACCGATTTTCTGAAGATAAACTTGGCGCATATTATGCTAGTTTTAGACTTAATAGATCATTTTCAGATGAGATTTTTTTACTTAAAAAATTGCAGACTTCCTGCTATGAACATAAAGTAACCACACATGCATTGTTCATAGATTTTAAAGAAGCGTATGATAGGATATGAAGGTATTAAATGTATGAAGCACTGAGCTTCTTGCGCATACATGCAAATATGGTTAGATAAATAAGAATGATTCTGAATAGCACACAAAATCATATAGTAAGGAGAGTTTCTCATCGGATAAATTTAAGGTAAACAAAGGTCATAGACAAGATCTGTTATCCATATGTGCTTTTTAATTTGGTATTGGAGACAATAATCAGAAATAGCCGTATTAAAATGACCGAATCCATTTTCAATTAATGAACATCCATGTCTGGCCTTCGCTGATGATCTTACTATTCTAACGCAATCAAGAAAATAATTAGGAAATGATATAAAAGGATAAAAAAAGAAGGCAAAGTAATTTGACCTAAAAACAGGAAAAGTCAACATATATGATACTCAAAAATATAGAGCAAAAAGAAAAGGGAGAGTTTACCTTCATAACTAATGAATCAAGGGAGTAAAATTTCAAGAAAGTGGTCAATTTTACGTATCTGGGGTTAATATAGAAGGAAAAGGTCAAGAAAAATGGAAACTTAATGCCAGATTAGCAAAGAGAAAGGGTATCTAAGGATATAGGATATATATAAGGATATATAAAACGATAACAAAACCTATAATCATTTATGGTAGTGAAATATGGACAATGCAAAAAGTAAATACGAAAAAATTGACAAGATGTGGAAGGAAAATGCTCAGAGTTATATATGAAGGCAAAACATGGTAAAAGGTCGGGTGCGACGAACAAATATGGAGCTAGAGAAACTGTATAATAAAGCAAGCATCAGGCGCTTCATAAAGACACAGAGAGTGAGATTGATGGGACATGTGATAAGAATGGAAAGGAAGATAATACCAAAGGTGATCCTAAAACAAAAACTAATCACGAAAATAAGGAAAGGACGACCCAGGCGAAAATGGTTTGATAGCGCACAGAAAAATTAAAAAAAAAAACGAAATATCAAGTCACTGACTACCACACGAAAAAATCTTAAACAACGCCTATGAAATGTAGATATCCAAAGTTGGCATTTAAAAATAGATATATAAATAAGATAATAAATATCTTTGAACGATAATATGATTGTAGAAGAAATAAATTTATGTATCTAGGATCGGTATTACAGAATAGTAGAAAAATAGATTGGCACGTGTTGGGACAGAGAAAGATAGAGTTGGATGAAATTAACTTAGTAATTAAGTAACAAATATTACAAATACAATATTGAAAACAGGTTATTTCCAAATCGACGAGAAGAAGCCCATGTGATATTGATTCACAAACCAGGGAAGAACAACATTTCCCGCTAAATTACAGGGCGATTAGCTTATTTTTAACAGTTAGAAAAATAGTAGAAAAAGTCATACAAACCAGATTTCAAACATACTTTCAGCAACTTGGAATAATTCCTACAGCACAATTTTGCTTTACAGCAAAGCACTCCAGCGAACATCCAGTATTCCGACTAACCGAATACTTTGCAGCTGAGTTTAACGATAAACAATATACAGGAGCTGCCGTCCTGGATTTCAATGTTTAGTAGAGCCTAGGAGAAGTATTTCATGTGCGGGTTCTTTTACTCAGGACTCTCATGTGACAAGCATTTTGCCGATTTATAGCGCATCAGCGTGCTATCGGGAAGTAGAGGATGGTCTGGAGCATTGGAGCGGGTGGAATGGTTCCTAATCTTCTAGGATCAATCGTACAGTTGTAATGTACGCAACTGTATGTTAAGCAGTTTTCCTAATTGTCTGCCAAAGGAATTGCTGACTTAAGCAATTTAAGAGAAATTTAGCCAAAAGACGCCTAAACAAGACCTGTTTGTAGAGTAGATTGATATTGGATTGTCTCCTAATAGAAACTTATAAAGATATCTATAATCTATTTCTAATGAGTGTAGAGTAATAAAATCTCATGAAGTATTCAAAAGCGCTACAGGGTAATCCGTCAATAAATTCCGTCCGCATTGCAAAATTCTGTCGTTTCATAAAGAGCAGGTAGGTATCACCCTGTTTTAAGGGATTAGTCCATTGTTATCGACAGATAAACACTGAGCCAGAGGCGCGCTAGTGGGTTAATTGACAAAAGAGTATGCATTCTTAAAAATCATATTAAAGGAAACAAAAATGTAATACAGCAGAACAGTGTTATTAAAAAAATATAAAATGTAACAATAAAATATATACGAACCGAAATCGGGAAATACTCACAAACACACACGAATGAACTTTACATATTGAAACACTTGTGGGGAGTTTAAATCAATGTATTCACAAAAACTACAAAAACTTTACTGGATACGTTATTACAATTCTACATCACTATAGTCTTCATCCGAAGAACTGTCATCATCCCCTGGTGTTATAATTATAGGGTCAACCACCTGATCGACCAAGTTGTCCAGTTCCCACATTTTATCTTCCTCTTTTAAAACATGCTGGATTGCTTTTTGCCAGTTTTCTGATGTGATTTCCATAATGGCTTGATCAAACAATACCTTGACATCTTTCATTTTAAATGTGGTATTGTGCCTTGCAACATATCCTTTAACTTGTGCCCATATAAGTTCTATGGGATTTAATTCGCAATGATATGGCGGTAGGCGTAGCACAGTTACTTTATACTGTTCTGCTACATCTTCTACGGCATATTTTATGAAGCGAGATTTATGTTGTTTTACTACGGCTAGTAGTTCCTTCTTTATTGAATTCGTCTCAAACTGAATACCTTTATTTGACAGCCAGTTAATAATTTCTTGCTTTCTCCAAGCTGAAGTTGGTACCTTCTCTATGCGCCTTGAATGGTAGCTTGCATTATCCATAACCACGACCGAATCAGCTGGAAGAAATTTTAACATTTCCCCGAAGTAGTCTTCGAAGACATCCGAATTCATGTCCTCATGATAATCTCCCGTCCGACACGACTCAAAGCTTAACAAACCTTCTTTTAAAAATCCTTCTTCGCTTCCAATGTGAGCAATTATAAGCCTCTTCCCTTTTCCCGAAGGAACTTTAATACCCGTCGAAAGGCCTTCTATGAAAGCTTGGCGAGCACTTGTTACATTTTTATCTTGCCACATTTTTTGGACTATATAACCTTCGTTTATCCACGTCTCATTAAGATAAAAAATTTTCTTGTGCTCTCTGCGGTACTGTTTTATAGTTCTCAAATATTTTCGTCTCCAGCAAATGATTTCATCACTTTCCAGTAATAGTGCCTTTCGATTGTGCTTTTCCCAGGAAAAATTCATACTTTTTAAAGTTTTCCATAAAGTTTTCTTCGAATGTCACGTTTGGTGTCTTCACCTAAGATTTTTATTGGTCTTCCTGATTTTCTCTTGCATGGACTTAACTGGCCTGATATCTTTCTTTCTCGCAATAATTTAAAAATCGTGGACTGTCCAATTCCAGTCATTCGGGCACATCGCTTGACACTTTCTTGCACAGACAAACTAGGGTGATCGTGTTTTATGCAATCATATACATTTAAAATTACGAATTCGAACCACCATATCCCAAACGTCAGGTTCCCCAATGTACCAAATGTCAACGCTACGGTCACACACAAAAATTCTGCCATATGCCTCCAAGATGCGTAAAGTGTGCAAGTAATCATCTTACTTTACACTGTCCACGAAAAGAACGCAGCAATAACGTAAAATGTGTACTTTGTAACGGAAACCATCCGGCCAACTATAAGGGCTGCAGCGTATACAAACAAATACAAAAAGAAAAATTCCCCCAACTCAGAAAGAATCAAGAGACCCATAGAACAGACACCTATGAAACTAATAGTCAAAGAGTAACCCCTGGTGTTTCTTACGCTCAAAAAACTTCAGGAAATAGTCAAGCGGATGAAATCACAAATCAACAAACTAATGTCGGCTCAAACCATTCAACGAAAATTGCCAACCTTGAAAACCTGATGACAAAACTAGTAGAGAGAATGGACACCATGCTTAATCTTCTTATGACTATGATTTCCAAAATGCACTAATGCAACACAGACTTAAAATAGCCGTCTGGAATTCAAATGGCCTAACGAACCACATCCAAGAAATAAAAATTTTCCTCGACGAGAAGAAAATTGATGTTATGCTTGTATCAGAAGCTCATCTAACAGACAAAAACTATATAAAAATTCCAAAATACATTGTCTACTACACAAAACATCCAAATGACAAGGCACACGGTGGCACAGCTATCATTATCAAATCTAATATAAAACACCATGAGTTAAATAAGTTCAGTGAAAAGTACCTGCAATCAACTAGCATTGTCATCGAAGACTGGTTAGGCAACCTTACCTTATCTGCGGTTTACTGTCCTCCTGGTCAACCAATCAACGAAAACAACTTTAGCACCTATTTTAGTTCTCTTGGACTCAAATTCATAGCAGGAGGAGACTTTAACTGTAAACATCATCACTGGGGCTCTAGGATAATTACAACAAGGGGTAGACAACTGCTGAAGTCAATAACAGGAAACAACCTACAACACATATCTACAGGAGAACCAACTTATTGGCCTACAGATCCAAATAAAACACCAGATCTCTTAGACTTCTGTGTGATTAAAGGTATCTCTCTTAACTACTTAGCAATAGAATCATGCTGGGACCTCTCTTCAGATCATTCTCCCATTCTAATTGACCTAGACTCCAAAATCATACTCAGAAATAAGCCTCCAGTCCTTACCAATAATCAAACAAATTGGAAAATATTCCGAAGCGCACTAGCAGAACAAATACCAACGAACTTGCCACTTAAAACAGAATTACAAATTGAAAATGCGGTACAACAACTTACTACCTCCATACAAAAGGCAGGTTGGATTTCTACTCCTGAACAAACAACATGGAAGGAAAGCATAAACTGTTCGCAAAGTGCAAAAAACCTGATCGATGAGAAAAGAAAACTTAGGAAAAAGTGGCAAAACACACACGCTCCTATTGACAAACAAAATTTAAACAGAATTACCAGAAGACTTAAAAATCTATTAAAAGAAGAGAAAAACAGGGGGATCCAAACTTACTTAGAAAATTTGACTCCGTCCAAAGACACCAATTATTCTCTATGGAAGGCGACGAGAAAGGTAAAAGGTCCACAAGACGCCATACCTCCTCTAAAAAATGTCAAAGGTAAATGGGCAAGAACAGACACAGAAAAATCTGAGACATTCGCAGAACATCTTTCTACAGTATTTAGTCCATTTAACAGAGTAGTGCCATTAGAACAAGAAGAACCATTTAATTCTTTTCTTGAGGCTCCATATCAAATGGAACTACCAATCACCAAGTTTAATATTAAAGAAGTAAAACACATAATAAAGAATGAGATACAACCCAATAAGGCTCCGGGATTCGACCTCATAACGGGTAAGATCCTTCAGGAACTAACCAATGACTGCTACAGAACAATCACTATGATCTTCAATGCTATGCTTAGTCTGCATTACTTTCCTCTGCAATGGAAAGTGGCACAGATTATACTCATTCAAAAACCTGGTAAAGATCCAAAAGATGTCAACTCATACCGACCGATTAGTCTACTCCCAGTCATCTCTAAGGTCTTTGAAAAACTTCTGCTACGAAAAATCAAACCAATATTGGACGAAAAGTGTCTCATACCTGACCATCAATTTGGTTTTCGTAACCAACATGGTACAATCGAACAAGTTCACAGACTATACACAACAATAAGAAGTAGTCTCGAGAACAAGCAATACTGTACTGCAGCCTTTTTAGACGCCTCTCAAGCTTTTGACAAGGTGTGGCATACAGGACTTCTGTACAAATTAAAGAAAAATTTACCTTACCCTTACTTTAAACTGCTTCAATCATACCTTACAGAAAGGAGATACCTGGTAAAATATAATGAAGCCCATACAAAACTCTACCCCATCCTATCTGGTGTACCTCAGGGTAGTGTGCTCGGACCGATTCTGTACCTGATATATACAGCTGACTTGCCAATAAGCAATAACCTAACGCTTGCAACATTCGCAGATGATACTGCTTTCTTGGCCTCTCATAGCAACCCAATAATAGCATCAGAGAGACTGCAACTACATCTGAACAAAACAAATGAATGGCTTAAACTCTGGAGAATTAGAGTAAACCCCTCAAAATCCACACAAATTACATTTACTCTAAGAAGAGGTACATGTCCACAAGTTAACCTCAATGGACATCCTTTGCCCCAAAAGCATGACGTAAAATACTTAGGTATTCACCTTGACAAACGTCTAACTTGGACCAAACATATATGGACGAAAAGGCTTCAATTGGGAATTTTATACAGAAAACTTTACTGGATGTTGGGAAAAAACTCTCACCTATCGATCGACAACAAGCTGCTGATATACAATACAATAATAAAACCCACTTGGACATATGGCTCGCAGCTCTGGGGTTCAGCTAGCAAATCTAATATTATGATAATACAAAGATTTCAATCCAAAACTCTGAGAACAATCGCTAATGCACCTTGGTATATCCAGAATGATGCAATACATAGAGATCTTCAGCTACTAACAGTCTCTGAAGAGTGCAAAAAATCTTCTGAACAATATCAAAACAGGTTGCGGGTGCATCCTAATACCCTGGCACACAACCTTCTCAACAACCAACAAGCGAAGAGATTGAAGCGACATGACCCCTTGGACATAGTTCACCGATCCTGACAGAGCCTACAGTAGTGGGAGTTAGGCCCTCAACAGCACCCAGACATTGTGATCAGTGCCGCTTTTAGTGCTCGCGTATCAGTGTATGTGCGCATCCTACCGGTAAAAAAGCCAACTTGTGTCGTGATGATTTGGTCACTGGACCTTACATCTCTCTGTCATGTAAAGACAAAAAGTTTTACTTATTGTTTTCACTGCAAAACAGATTGTAAAAAATCTTAAATGTTAATAAAAAAAAAAAAAAAAAAAAAAAAAAAAAAAAATTTAAAATTATAACTTTTTCACTAACAGATAGCGGAGAATTTTTTACACCTCTTTTCTTTGGAGTAAATGTCGCCATTTTATAACTTTTTCAGTATTTCTATATCACAATATTACTGTACGTTTAATTGGTGTAGTAACAATTACTAACTCGAATGTCGAATGTCGAATGATAATAATAAAATAAAAGAGGGATTATAATGAAAGTGTAAGTAAAACCTCATTACGCGTTATTAGTCTTCATGTTGATTTATTTTAGTTCTTAGTAATATTAGGAGGTGCGTCATACCCTTATCAGTTTCTTCTAATGCTTTTATTCGTTCAGTAAGGAAGTGAATTTGTTTTTATAAATAAAAATGTAATTAGCTTTAATGACCATATAATGGAATACGAGTTTGAAGAATAAGTTAATCGAAAAATTAAATAAAATTGGTTATCACAAAATATCCAAAATATGATATTTTGAGGTACATCAATTTTTGACGACGAAGTTGACATCCGTCCATTTGCCTACGCCCATGACGACACCGAAATTCAGGCAAATTTTATGACACTTCATGATTTATTACTCTACACTCATTTGAAACCAATTATAATTAAGAAAGCCGATCTCTCATAGTTTAAGGCAAAGACAATGATTATGAAGAAATAAGTTTAAAAATTTACAAGAGTAAAATAAATAATACAGAACATATTTAAAAGAGAAAAAGACTACAATAGCAATGACAAGAATTAAAAAGTTATAAAAAAAATGTATTCACAAATAATGTTAATTCAGTTTCAAATCTATCGGTAAAACTCTATTTTTGTAATTTAATTTTTGGCATTTTATTATGCGGACTTCAAAAGCTACAGTACATTTTGTCAATAGCAGAGTTAAGAATTGGCTACAACGTTTTAATTTTACTTTCATACCTTCGTGTAGTCTTTGTTTCTGTTCTTACCCTAACAAGAAATTGTTGCTCCTTAAGAAGTCTACTTTCGCAACGACAAATAAGTGCCACTTAATTTTGAAGTCATTTAAATTCAAGTAGTTGAAAATCGTTAAAATAAACAAGGGATATAAGAGATTCTTGTGTGCCGAAGGGTTTGATTGTATGACGAAGTCACTAGCAGTTACGATTAACTTATTTGGAAAGGTAGTGGGATGACGTCACTGACTTGATGCATTATTAATTGCTGACTATATACCGACGTAGTAGGGAATATTGATTTGTGTAAACAGCATTGAAATGATTGTTCATTTTAGGCAATATATACGAATTATTTTTATTTGTTTTATTAAAAATAAACGAACACTGGAATTGGAATTTGGAATAGTACAAAACGTTTAGATCAAAAATTATAACTTATGCAAAAATTAAATTACCTGCTACATAAAGCGTAAGATATCAACAAAAAAATCTTACCATCCTTATTCATGCCAGCCTCTTGGCATTTCTGCAACCTACAGGCTCTGCATTGATTTCGATGTGTTTTGTCTATAATACAGCTTCCTTCTTCTTTTGCTTTGCATACATATTGTCTGTTTCTTCTTATTGATCGCTTAAAGAATCCTGCACAGCCGTCACAGGCGAATATGTTATAATGTTTACCCGATGAGAAATCACCACATACCTTACAAGGAATGTCCAAAATCCTACCTGTAACAAGAAAATATTTTTAAATCTTAGCGAATAATATGAAGTATGAGATGTTTATATAATATGGCTACTGCGATTAACAAATTAATAATTTAACAATTTAAAACAATAAAGATAATGTCTGAATGCAAATTACAAATTTAAACTATATACTAGTAGCCTTGTGATGATGTAGGCAGCTATAGTTTAGTAGAAAAAAAGTAGGCGGTATAGTAGACTAGCGCAAAGCTTTATACTATGTTTTCTGTATTTTTAAAACTAAATAAAGTAATTTTATTATTTATTTATTATTTTTATGAAAAAAAAAAAAATAATTTTATCATAAAATAATTCAATAAATTATTATGTTTGCTCCTAACGCCACCTGTTAACGTATTAACAAAGCATACTTTACTTCTGGCATACTTATCAGATTTAAGCAAAATAAATATCATTTTACAGTAAATTTATTTAATATATTATAAACTAAAGAGGTTTAAAAATAATAATTGTATTAGTATTATTAATATGAAGGTTTTCAATTAGTAATATGCGTTTTACTTAAAACGACAATATTTTTAATTATTAAATATGCCAATCCCGAAATGTGTGCTATTAAGTTAGCCTTTTCTCAATGGGTGTCCTATATAATTTACGTTGATAATAAAAGAATCAGGGGAATCCGTTAAGTGCCATTGTGAAGCATAATAGCAAAACGGAAGTTGATAGTGTTAAAAGAATTAGGAACTGCCTACTTATTTGTAAGAGCAACCAAAAGTGCAATTTCCTGTTGCTTGTATATTAATATCACTGACATACACCGGTTAGTACATACAATAAAAGTACGTACTTGTTTTTGTGCTTTTGATTTGAATTCTTAAATTATTCTACAATCAATATCAGAAATGAGGATTGCTAGTTTATTACAAAAAAAAAAAAGAATAATTTTGATGATAAATAGTTACTTTAAATTTGATGTACGAATTTGCAATGTTATATAAGTAATATATTTATTACACTGGAGGAGACAAAACTGATCATCGATACGGAGTAGCTTTTATCATAAGCAACACTATTAAAAAATCAGTTTTAGGTGTGATTCAAATCTCAGAAAGAATAATAATGCTAAAAATTCAAGCACGGAACTGTAATATTAATATGATCCAAGTTTACGCTCCCACTGCTGATAAGACCGAAGATGAGATCGAAAACTTTTATTTAGAATTGCACAATACAATCAAGTTAACAAAATCTAGAGATATTACTTACATTTTAGGAGATGTTAATGCAAAAATTGGAGTAGGTACAGTTGACAATATAGTTGGACAGTTCGGACTAGGAACTAGAAACGAGAGAGGAGAAAGGCTCATAGAATTCTGCCAAGAAAAGAATATGGTAATTGCCAATACTTGGTTTCAGCTTCCTAAAAGAAGACTATATACATGGACGTCTCCTTCACATACAGAAAACCACATTGTCAGAAACCAGATAGACTTTATACTCGTAAATAGCAGATATAAAAACTCTATAACCTCAGTTAAAACTTATCCTGGAGCAGATGTTAACTCAGACCACAATCCGCTAGTGGCTGACGTGAAAATAAAATTAAAAAGAATTGAACTCAGAAAACAACAACCAAAAATTAACGTAAGAATGCTACAAAACGAAGAAATAAAAAACGAAATAAAAAATAATGTGAATGTTAATATGCAAAAAACACTAACTGACAACAAACAAATTATGGATGTAAATAAAAAGTGGTGTAATATAAAAAACACATTACTGAAACCAGCTCAAGAAAGTTTAATAGAACATAAATCAGAGGCTAAAAAACACTAGATGACAGAAGAAATACTACTACAGATGGAAGAAAGGAGGAAACATAAAAGAAAAGATCTACAGAAGTAGAAAGAAATACAACGAATAATTAAGAAAAAAATCATAACAGCTAAGGAAATCTATTTGATCAAACAATGTAAAGAGATAGAACAACTAGAAACAAAATATGATATGAGAAATATGCACAAATAAATTAGAGAAGTGACTGGAATGGGTCAAAATAGACAGCAAGGACACATAAAAGACAAAAAAGGAGTAATACTAGTAGATTTACCAGAGAAGTTAAAGCGATGGGAGGAGTACGTTAGAGAACTTTTCCAAGATGAAAGAGGTGAAATGCAGAAAATACAAGAATTAAATCCTTTAGAGATACAGAAGATCACGATAGATGAAATCAAATATGGTATCAAAAACTCTAAAGACAATAAGGCAGCTGGATTAGATGAAATACCAGTAGAACTCTTAAAACTAGTGGAAGAAGACAACTTGGAAGTATTGGCAGATTTATTCAACACGGTGTACGATACGGGAATAATACCACAGGAGTGGCTAAAGTCAGCATTTATAACCATCCCTAAAAAACAAGCAGCAAAAGAGTGCTCTGATTATCGAACACTGAGCCTCATGAGTCATACTTTAAAAGTTCTGCTAAAAATAATACATAAGAGAATATACGAAAGGCTAGAGGAGGATATTAGCGAGACGCAGTTCGGGTTCCGAAATGGAATGGGTACTCGAGAAGGACTATTTGCCATCAACATATTAATTCAGCGATGTCGGGATGTGAATGTTGATCTACACTTGTGCTTCGTTGACTACGAAAAAGCTTTCTGATAAAGTAAGACCTGAAAAACTAATATCAATACTTATGAACAAGCGCATTGACAGTAAAATCATAAATATAGTGCAAACATTATATTGGAACCAAAGTGCCATAGTTCAAATTGATGGGCAACACTCAGAAGAAATGAAGATCTGTAGAGGAGTTAGACAGGGATGTGTGTTATCACCACTTTTGTTTAACTTATATTCTGAAGAAATTTTCCAAAACACGCTCAATAATATCGAAGCGGGAGTCACCGTTAACGGAAAATTAATTAATAATTTAAGATAAGCAGACGACACTGTGATCATAGCAACGAGTATAGAGGATCTACAACATCTTATCGAAAGCTTGAGTATAAATAGTGCTGAGATGGGAATTACTATAAACGCCAAAAAAACGAAGTACATGCTGATTACAAAAAGGCCACAAAATATACATCACCTATTGACAATAAATGGTAACGTGATAGAACAAGCAGAAAAATATCAGTATTTGGGAACTTTGATCAATGAAACCAATGATCATACTGTAGAAATAAACAGACGAATAGAGATTGCCAGATCAGCATTTATACGAATGAAGCCACTCCTAACGTGCAAAAATCTAAATTTGGAGATCAGACTACGTACCATTCGCTGTTATATATTTTCAATATTATTATATGGAGCTGAGACTTGGACATTAAAAAAATGTAATTTAAAAAGAATCGAGGCCTTCGAACTCTGGTTATACCGCAGAGTATTGAAAATATCATGGACTGATAGAATTACAAATAAAGAAGTACTGGAGAGGGTTGGTAAAGAAACAGAACTAATCACCACTATACAAACCAGAAAACTGGAATACCTAGGCCACGTGATGAGGGGACCAAAATATGAAATTTTGAGACTGATAATACAGGGAAAGATTCAAGGAAGAAGATCTGTTGGCCGAAGGCAGAACTCATGGTTAAAGAATCTGCGTGATTGGTACCAATGCAGATCGATTGATTTGTTTAGAGCAGCAAGTTCTAAAATAAAAATAGCCATTATGATTGCCAACCTCCGTAGGGAGACGGCACTCTAAGAAGATAAGTTGCCCAGGTAAACGAGTTTTTTAGCTGTAATAGGAGTTAAGACCGAAACAAAAGAAAAAATAAAACACGGGATTCAAACAGACACAAACACTGTATATTTTATCTGAACTATATACTTCAGTTGCACACAAATCATTTCAAAGCTTGAAACCTTCGTATTTAGCATACAGTCAAAGGAAACAATTACTGTAGATTGGGGAACTAAGTTCGTTGTGCCATCTTTTACGAATTCCGAAAATAAGATAGCCAGAAAAATATAGCATTAGGTTTCACTAGGTCCAAAAAAGAGGGGTACACGGAGAATCTTCGAACAAAAGTATAGATCACAAGTATCACAAACTTAAAGTGGAAACGAAATATGTCAGAGTGATTTAGAGACGAGAATCAGAAAGGCAAAGTTAAATTAAACTTATGCTAGGGTTTTTACCCCTAAATATTAAAACGCAAAAGATTTATAAAGTAACATAAACAATGAAGGTTTTTATACTGTTGTATGTATTAAAACACCGAAGAATATTTTCAATGTATTTCTATTTCCTAACGTACACGTTTAAAACAGCGAAATATTTTTTTAATCCTTTTGCATCGTTGGAATTAATAATAGAATCATCAATATTTTCAATGTATTTCTATTTCCTGTACACGTTAAAACAGCGAAATATTTTTTTAATCCTTTTGCATCGTTGGAATTGATAATAGAATCATTTCTGGTCTGCGTATAATACATTTAATTGCCTTGGTTTGATCGTGATGCCGCCCAATATTGCGCATCATATAAACATCCACTTATATTGCTGAGAAAGTATTGCGGAGAAAAGAATAACGTCACTCTGCAAAGGATGCTGGCATTAAAAGAAGAAAGTTGGAATATCTCGGACATATAATGAGAAACAGCACTAAATACAGATAACTGAAGGTAATCATACAGGGTAAAGTATTCGGAAAGCGAGGAATTGGGAGAAGGAGAATATCATGGTTGAAGAACCTGAGGAAATGGTTCTCCACAACAACAACGAATCTATTTAAAGCATCAGTCAATAAAATAATTATAGCCAGAATGATTGCCAATATTCGCAACGAATAGGCACTGAAAGAAGAAGAAGCAAAGGATCACTGAAGTGGTCACTGCATTGTTTCGAGTACGATTTTTTTTAAGTTTGTAATGGTTTTTCGTTTTTAGATTTTGTTATGAAAATATGATATATATTGGCACTTAAATGTGGAGTTTAAGTTGAAGTTGGAATTAAGATCTTGAAGGGGGCAAACCACGGCGTGGTATCT